CCCTGCAGCCAGGAAGCCCAGGCACCCCCACCTCCCTGCCACTCCCACCCCGGCCGTGCGGGGAAACTGCACCCCAAACGCCTGTGCTCTGAGAGGCCCTCCAGACCCGCAGCGCCCGGCTTCGAGGCACCTGCCCTCCCTTTACTGGGGTCACCCAGAGGTGCTCAAGATCACCCGCCCACCACCCTCGGTGACCGTGAACAGGGGCCTCCCCGGCCGCCACGGTCCTGCCCCGCATCTCCGGCTCCCCTGCTGTTCACCTCAACAAGCGCCTAGACCACACCTGCCCTCGCCCCTCCTGTCTTCAGGGCTGGGACCAGCCCACCCTTCCCTGTCCCCACCCCTCCCCTCCTGCCCTCAGGGGATGCTGACTGCCCCACTCTCTGCCTCAGCTCCCCCGGCACAGGCATGACCACCCGCCACCCATGTCCCCACTCGCCCAGCCCACTGCTCCCTCTGCCTCTTCTGCCCCGACTCAGGGCCCACAGCTGCCACCGCCAGCTACTTATTTGGTTCAACCAGAAAGCAGTGATGGCCAGCACAGCACCCCCGGCCCTCTGTGCTGCCCTCCAAGCCCCTCCCACCTGCTCCCTAGGCCCTGAGCAGCCATACCACTGCTCGGCCACAGACCCCTCCAGTCCCCAGACCCACTCCCCACCCCTCCCCTTCCTTTCCTGCAAAGTTCAGGAGCCTCCATGGCCCCTCCCAGCCCTCCCACCTTCACCACACCCGGCTCTGACTCGCCCGGGTCACCCAAATTGGGTTCCGCTTTGCTCCACACCCCCAGGGCATCTGGTGAGCCCTTCCTGGACTCAGGTGTGGGGCTTCTCAGATACCTGGCCCTGTGGGGGCCACATCAGGGCAGGCCCCTCACCTGCCCTTGCGTCTCTTCCCCAGAGCCCCAAGGCCTGAAGGACAGGGCCAGCGCACGTCCAGGGGTAGATGTTTCCCTCGCTGCCCGAGGCACGCATGCCCTGGGTCTCCTCCCACCTCTGTGGTCCTGCGCCCCCTCTCCTCCTGGCTCCCTCCCACTCCTGTACCTCCTGGGCAAGGGTGGTGCAGTCCTCCGAGGCTCATTCTCACCCCAGGGGGTGTGCAGGAGGAGGAGGTTAGGGGTGGGGGATGCCCAACCCACCTGTCCACCGCTGAACTTCCTCCTTCAGGAGCAGAACCCCAGTCCACCCCCGACGCTGGGTCCTGGCCTGTGCCTGTGGTGGTCACTGCTGTCTTCATCCTCTTGGTTCTTACGGTCATGTTCGCCTGGTACAGGTGCCGCTGTTCCCAGCAACGCCAGGAGGTAGGAGGCCCTGCACCCCAGTGTGTGTGGGTGGGGGGTCTTGGGTGGGGCCACCCCAGGCTGAGCTCAGCCTTACTGTCCTGCACCTGCCAGGGCTCCAGGAGAGGGTTGGGGGAGCACCGGTCCCAGAGAGCCCGTCCCCGCTAGGGGCCCAGCTGGCTGTGGTCAAGAATACACAGCCAGGTTCCCCAGACCCGCCCTGCCCTCCCTGCAAACCCTCACCATCCCCAGGACTCCCTGGAGGGCAGCATGGCAGGGCATGTGGTCTCCATCAGGGACAGAACCTGGAGTTTCCGAGCCAAGGGAACCTCTTGCCGTGGGAAGTGGGTTCGACCTCCAGCAGGCTCAAAACCAAGGTGAGGGCTGGGGGTGTGTGGAAGGGGTGTGTGTTGTGAGGGCACGGGTGTACCTGGGGGTGGGAGTGTGCGTGTACATGCAAGCATGCCCATGAGTGTGAGTGCACGCCTGAGGGCAGAGCTGTGGGCACGGGGGGTGCAGCTCACGCAGGCATCTCCTTCCTCCCCTCGCAGATGAAGGTCTTCCTAGAACCCCAGCCCTCAGAGTGGGAGTACAGCAGGGCCTGAGCAGAGCCTCCCCTGGCCTGTGGACCCCAGACCCCAAGCCTACTCCGAGGCCACCAGCACTGGTGGTCAAACCCTCAGCACTTGGAGCCCTGGAGCTGCTGTCCCCCAACCCTTGTTTCCAGATGCCATAGACCCATAACCACCTATGAGGCAGAGAGGACACCAGCGAGCCGGCCCTGAGTGCCGACCTTGGGTGGCAGGGCCTGGGTCTCTAGTCCCACCCAGAGGGCACAGACACCGGCTTGCTTGGGAGGGTCTGGGAGAGCTGGTGGCAGGCTGGGCTTCTGTGTCACCCACTCCAGGGCGGGTACAGACCCTTCCCCTGCACCCCCCTGGTCTTCCAAGCTCTGCTTCCTCAGTTTCCAAAATGGGAACACCTAGCACGCGACCTACCAGGACCCATGCCCCTCCCTCCGCCCTCATCAAACCCAGAGACCCGGGCTCCCTTTCTGCCACCCCAGCCTGAGTCCAGCCTCCATGCCCAAGTGAGGGAGCCGCTGCCGGAACCTCAGACACACTCCAGTTCAGGGCTGTAGGGGGCCTTGGCCGCATGTGCCTATGATCAATGGCAGGCTTTGGGGGCCCCTCTGCGGGAGCCCCAGGGGCCAAGGTGGGGTGCGGGGGTTAGAGGCTGGGATGGCTCCTGGCCCCACCGCCAGGGGGCAGCGCAGGCCGGGCCGGGAGGAGGCGGTGGCCGCTCGGGCTGGGAGTCAGGTGGACACTGCCCTCCGGGGCTGGACAGGCATCCCTCAGTCTCTTGGCTGCCCGGGAGTCGCTCCCTCGTGCCCACCCCACCTGCCAGGCCTCCTTGGACCCACATCTGTTCCTGCTTTTGTCTTCGTCACTGCGGCAGAGCCCTTTGACGTCTTAATATGTATCCGGTGAAAAAAATAACTTTGGGAATCCCCCTTCAGTTCTTTGAAAAAGTTCCATGACTTGAATCTCTGAAATGAAGAAAATAAACCGACTCACAAACCTGCAAGTAGCTGGGAAATGCAATTTTTAAAATGAAAAAAAATCTGAAAGAAACGTCTTCAGTGGCTTTAAGCCCCCAAACGTCCCTAAGGTGTCCTCAAGATGAAGACACGGGGAGCCCCCAGCCAGCTGTAACCCCGCAGGGACACAGCGTCACCCAGTGACCGAGACCTCGCAGAACCAGCGCCCGGAGGGTCAGGGCCGTAGCCAGGGTCCAGAAGGGGCACGTTTGTGTCTCAGGTTAAAATAAGGTTCCCGTCCGTATGCTGGGTTCGGGACTCTGCTGGGTCAGATCATGTCCTGTGGGCACAGCGCCCGGGACCCCCGTGCACCCGGGACCCCCGTACAGGATCACACCTGCCTCCACAGGCTGAAGAGCATTGGCGTGTCTTCAGGTCAAAGTTTTCTTTCTCTTTTTTCTTTTCTTTCTTTTTTTTTTTGGAGATAGGGTCTAGATCTGCCGCCTAGGCTAGAGTGCAGGGGCATGATCGCGGCTCAACATCCTGGGCTCAAGCGATTCTCCAACTCTGGCCTCCCAGAGTGTTGGGATTACAGGCGTGAGCCCCTGCGCCTGGCCTCAAGGTCATTTTGAACTCGGTAGTGTGGGTGGGGCACACGGTGGTCGCCATGTCCCCTGCACACCCGGGCAGGAAACCCAGGGGGAGAGCCTGGGGCTGGAGTCCCTGAGGATTTTCATCTTTTCCTGGTGGCTTATCTCTGTTTCTGTTTTCCCTACTGGGATTTACTGCTGGTCCTCACGATGCCTTCCCCCTCGGTGTGTGGGGGGTCTGTGTCTCCCTCTGCTCCCCCAACCCTATCCGGCCCCATGCTATCCTCAGACACACCGGGCACATTCTGGCCTCAGGGATTCTGCCCTGCTGATCCCTCTGCCTGGAATGCTGTTCCCCGGGGCCCCGGTTGGTTTCACCCACAACCCCTTCTTGGATTGGCCTTTGAGGGCCACACTCACACCCCGTGTCCTGCTGGCTGTCCACCTGGCCTCCCTGAGGTCAGCTCCAGGCGGGATGGCCCCTGGTCCACACTGTCCCCTGCTCCTGGCACAGAGGCTGGCATAAAGACGCTCGGTGAACGTTGGTGACCCAATGCATGCATGGAGCAAAGGCCAGAGGAGGGGCTGCTCTGTAAAGCGCTGTTACCCACTGCCTCACGCCACAGCCTTTCGAGGGTGCTCCAGGGCCTCTGGGCAAGATTCTGCCCCCAAATCCTCTGTCTCTTGTTTATGAAGAGCCTGGGGGTGGGAAACCGGCTCCTGCAGGACCCTCAGCCCAGCAGAAAAGCTGCACCACCCCACAGCCCCCCAGTGTCTCCGCACCGGCTGCTGTGGCTGGGACTCCGGGGAAGCAGCTCAGGGCTGCAAGTCTGTGTGTGAGTCATGGGCACATGTCTCTGCACACATGTGTGAGTCACGCATACCCGTCTCTGCACACAGATGTGGAATCACACACACCCATCTCTGTGCACGCGTGTCCACACGCTCCCGTCTCTGCACACACACGTCCACACGCACCCATCTCTGCACACGCGTGGAGTCACGTGCACCCGTCTCTGCACACATACGCGTCAACACGCACCCGTCTCTGCACACGTGTGGAGTCATGCGCACCTATCTCTGCACGCACGTGTGGAGTCATGCGCACCTATCTCTGCACGCACGTGTGGAGTCACGCGCACCCGTCTCTGCACACACGCGTGTCCACACGCTCCTGCTCATGTGCTGCACCTGCTGGCTTTGGGCACCAACGTCAATGCTTGTCATTGTGCCATCAGGACAGAGAAGTGCCTGTCCCAGAGGACTCAGTCCCCCTGGGGTTAGAGGTCAGGCACAGGTCTCCCTCAGCCCCTGAAGCTGGGCACTGTGGCCTGATACACTCCTCCCAGGGAGGTGGGGGAACCTCAGGCCTGGGCCACGGCTCAGCCCTCTCGTCCCCAGAACATAGAACACAGACCCACAGTTGGCTGGTCGGCTGCAGTGCTGGGCACGGGCACAGGCCCAGCCTCCTTCCCCACGGCCAAACCAGGGGGTGCTAATTCTGGCCTGCCCTGTGCTCCTGTGCACTGTGTGGGTGACTCATGGGTGACTCCAAATTTCTGGGCATAAGTTGGGTTCCAGCAGAAAGTACCCCAGAGGACCATGCAGGCTGCAGGGGGGCAGCCCTGCCCCTCACCTCCAGACCCTGTCGCCCGTCCCCTGCCAGGGGCTCCCTTCTCCGTCCTCTCGTCTGCCCAGCCCCAGGCCTTGACCTCCTCCCTGTGGATTTGCAGGGGCGGGGAGGGACAGGGACACCCTGATCTCAGGGCGGCTCTTGGGGAAGCAGTGCTGGGGAGGGGTAGGTGAGGCCGCCCCTCCCACGGGGCCCACATCACTACCCTGGTCTGAGGCACCGCCTCCAGGAAGCCCTCTCTGAGCTCTGAGCGCCTGCGGTCTCCCGTGTGCTGCTCTCTGTGGGGTCCTGCAGACCCAGAGGGGCTCAGCTGCACTCATCAGGCTGGGAGAGCTGGGTGTGGGGAACATGGCTGGGCCCCCGAGGCTCCTGCTGCTGCCCCTCCTCCTGGCGCTGGCTCATGGCCTGCCTGGGGCCCTGGCTGCCCAAGGTAAGAGCTTCCCAGATCCTCCATGGCCACAGCTCCGGAGCTCTCCCTGCCCTGTGAGCTCAGCGCCCCCAACCTGGGCCACAGCACAGCCCCCAGGAAGCGGGTGGGGTGCCGAGTGGCCTCCAGTGTCTGGGGACTCGTTTAAGAGAAGGACGAAGGGTGGACCCCGTTGGGGAGTGGCCGGGACTGTCCAGGCAGGGCCGCTGCTTTGGGAGGAAGAGGCCTCACGGTGCCTCAGCACAACACCCCTGCTGGTGCCCAGATCTGCTCCACGCCCCGACAGGCACCGTGTCTGCGGCAACATGTCATCCCTGGGCTGTCCCGGGGCCCCACTGTCCCCAGCACTGTCCCCTGCAGGAAGGACATTCTCTGTCCTTCTGGCCCGACTGGTGGTGACAGCCCAGGTCCTCCCTAGAGGTGCAGCAGTCTCCCCACTGCACGATTGCCCCCGTGGGAGGCTCCGTCAACATCACCTGCTCCACCAGCGGGGACCTGCATGGGATCTACCTGAGGCAGCTCGGGCCACAGCCCCAAAACATCATTTACTACGAGGACGGGGTGGTGCCCACTACGGACAAACGGTTCCAGGGCCGCATTGACTTCTCGGGGTCCCAGGACAACCTGACTATTACCATGCACCACCTGCAGCCGTCGGACACTGGCACCTACACCTGCCAGGCCATCACGGAGATCAATGTCTACGGCTCCGGTACCCTGGTCCTGGTGACAGGTAGGGAATGCGCCGATCCCAGACCACCCCCCCAACCCAGGCTGCTGGCCAGGCTCTGCTCCCCCAGCCCTTGTCGGGGGACCCTCCCTCCTACACGTGCCTGAACTGCTCCAGCTCCCAGCCCACCGCCCCCAGCAGCCTCCTAGATAGCTGCCCCTCCTCCGCTCCACAGCCTTTCCCTGCCCTGAACCCCAAACCCCGGGGGCTCTAACAGGTTCTCCACTGGGAGAATCCCTTCCTTCCTTCTTCCTTTCCAGAGGAACAGTCCCAAGGATTGCACAGATGCTCCGACGCCCCGCCGACAGGCTCTGCCCTCCCTGTCCCGCCGACAACCTCTGCCCTCCCTGCCCTGCCGACAGCCTCTGCCCTCCCTGCCCTGCCGACAGCCTCTGCCCTCCCTGTGGCCCTGGCAGTGGTCTCCTTCCTCCTCGGGCTGGGCCTGGGGGTGGCCTGTGTGCTGGCGAGGACGCAGGTCAGTGTGAGCCCCTGCTGCCACCTGCACCCCCACAGATGCTTCCCTCTCCTGAGAGCCGTGTGGAGGGCGCCAAAGCCCCAGAGGAAAGCCCCAGTACGCGCTGCCTCCTTTGCAGGCCCTGGAGCTCTCAGGGTGGAAGTGGCCTTGGCAAGGAGGGAGGGAAACCAGCACCAAAGCGACCGGAGGGGGAGGGAGCGGCCCAGGTGCTGGTCCCGCGTGTGCACGTGTGCGCATGTGCAGGTGTGAGTGTGGGGGGTCTCTGAGGACTGTGTGTGCATGTTGGAGTGCGTGGGCGGAGGAGGGAGCGCCCAGGCTCTGGGCCCACGTGTGCACGTGTGCGCATGTGCAGGTGTGAGTGTGGGGGGTCTCTGAGGACTGTGTGTGCATGTTGGAGTGTGCGGGCGTGTGCTGTGTGGCTGTGGGAAGGGAAGGGAGCCTCAGACAGACACAGAGTCTAGGCCGTGGCCCCTGCCCTCGGTCCCTGCTGTTTGTCTGGGGCTGGAGTGGGGGCCCCGCTTGGCCTGGGCTGCGGGGGGCAGTCCAAGCCGCTTCCACTCTCCTTCTTCAGTGGCGCCCTGGGGTCCGACCCAGCCCTGTCCCGGGAAGGCTCTGCTGGGAAGCCCTGGGGCGCAGGAGACCTGGGGGCCGGCCCAGAGGAGTCCCGTGGGGGTCTCGTGTTAAAATGAGAAAGCTGACCGGAGTGGGGTGGGGTCCAGGACACCACGCTGGCCCCTGGTTGGAAACAGCAGGTTCTGTCTTTCAGATGAAGAAACTGTGCTCGTCGCAGGATAAGAATTCGGCGGCGTGTGTGGTGTACGAGGACATGTCCCGCAGCCGCTGCAACACGCTGTCCTCCCCCAACCAGTACCAGTGACCCAGTGGGCCCGGCCACACCCCACCCGTGGTACCCCCAGCATGCCCCCCACCCGGCCGCGCCCCCCACCCGGCCACACCCCCCACACGGCCGCGCCCCCTACCCCGCTGTCCTCCCACAGCTGCAGCAGAGTTTGAAGGGCCCAGCCCTGCCCAGCTCCGAGCAGACACACAGGCAGTGGCTAGGCCCCACGGTGCTTCTCAGTGGACAATGACACCTCCTCCGGGAAGCCTTCCCTGCCCAGCCCCGCTGTCACGAGGAGGAAGCCTGACTGTCCTTTGGCTGCATCTCCCAACCGTGGCCAAGGAGGGCTTCTCCGTGGGATGGGCCTGGGCACGCAGCCCTCTCCTGTCAGTGCCGGCCCACCCACCAACAGGCCCCCAACCCCCGGCAGCCCGGCAGAGGACCGGAGACCAGTCTGCCACCCAGCCGTACCAGAAATAAAGGTTTCTATGCTTCCTTTTCTGACTTCTGCGTTTATTTCTCATCCAGCAGGAGCCACGGAGGGCCGGTGGCTGAGACAGCAGATACTCCCGAGGCCTCCGCCGGGGGCTCTGCCGCTGCAGCCTTGAAGGTGGGGAAGGGAGCACTTCCCCACTCCAGCCCTGAAAGGAGGCCTGGGGGCCCCTGACCCTTGAGAAGAAGCAGAAGCACATCCACCAGTCCAGGTGGAGGCCGGACCCAGGCGTCCTTCAGGAGCCTCCCTATCCCCCCATCCCCCCATCCCCCCCACCTCCACTCCAGCGACACAGCCTCTGAGGCTGACCCCAGGGCACACTGGGACCAGCAAGCTGAGCACAAGGCCTACCTCACCGGAGCAGCCTGATCGCTTCCCCTCCCTGCCCTGATGTGCAAGGTGCCTCCTCCTCGTTCTCGGAGGCATGGGGGAGACGCAGCCCGACTCTCCAGACCTTCCCCGGCCAGCGCAGCTCCCACGTGGGGACGGGAGCCACCATTCGCCCATTCCCGGGGGAGACAGAAGCACTAGCCCTCAGCCACTGCCAGGGGAGCTGCTAGGGCCCCACACACTGCACTTCATTGCCTCCTGCGACACAGGCGGGGAGAAAAGGTGGGGCCTTTGTGCGGGTTGCCTCCCAGCAGCACAGGCGGGGAGGGCAGGGGCCTTTCAGCGGTCCCCACCCACCCCTACACACCCCTCACCTCCCTCACACCTGCCCTCACCACCTCACCCACCCTCACCCCACCCCTCACACCTGCCCCCTCACCCACCCTCACACCTGCCCCTCACCCTCCCCTCACACCTGCCCCCCTCACCCTCTCCCCTCACCCACCCCCACCTGCCTCACCCACCTCCTCACACCTGCCCCACCTGCCCCCTCACACCTGCCCCCACCCACCTCACACCTGCCTCTCACCCACCCTCACCCACCCCTCACCCACCCCTCACCCACCCCCACCCACCCCTCACACCTGCCTCTCACCCACCCCCTCACCCACCCTCACACCTGCCCTCACCCACCCCCTACCCACCCCTCACACCTGCTCCTCACCCACCCTCACACTCTGCCTCTCACCACCTACACCTGCCCTCACCCACCCCCTCACCCACCCTCACACCTGCCCTCACCCACCCCTCACCCACCTCCTTCACACCTGCCCTCACCCACCCTCACCCACCTCTCACACCTGGGTTCCTCACCCACCCTCACACCTGCCCCTCACCCACCCCTCACACCTGCCTCACCCACCCTCACACCTGCCCCCTCACCCACCCCTCACACCTGCCCCTCACCCACCCCTCACCACCTCATGACCTGCTCTCACCCACCCTCACACCTGCCTCACCCACCCTCACACCTGCCTCCTCACCCACCCCCTCACACCTGCCTCACCCACCCTCACCCACCCTCACACCTGCCCCTCACCCACCCCCTCACCCACCCCTCACACCTGCTCCCTCACCCACCCCTCACCCACCCCCTCACACCTGCCCTCACCTACCCCTCACGCACCCCCACACTCTGCTCCCTACCTCACCTCCTTCTAGCACCCGCCCCCACCCACCCCTCACACCTGCCCCTCACCCACCCCTCACACCTGCCCCTCACCCACCCCCTCACACCTGCTCTCACCCACTCCTCACACTGCCCTCACCCACCCTCACACCTGCCCTCACCACCCCTCACCCACCCTCACACCTGCCCCACCCACCCCTCACACCTGCTTCACCCTCACCCACCCCTCACCCACCTCACACCTGCCTCCCCTCACCCACCTCCCCCTACACCTGCCCTCACCCACCCCTCACACCTGCTCACCCACCTCATGACCTGCTCCTCACCCACCTCACACGTGCCCCCCACCCTCCTCACACCTGCCTCCTCACCTACCCTCACACCTGCTCCTCACCCACCCTCACACTCAGCTCTCTCACCACTTATTGAATTTCCACCCCACCCCTGCCCTCACCCACCCTCACACCTGCCCCCCCCACCCTCCCCCTCACCTACCCTCACACCTGACCTCACCCTCCCTCACCACCCTCACCCACCTCAAGCACCTGCTCCCACCCACCCCTCACACCTGTCTCCCTCACCCACCTCACACCTGCCCTCACCCACCCCTCACACCCGCCCCTCACCCACCCTCACACCTGCCCCTCACCCACCCCTCACCTGCTCCTCACCCACTCCTCACCCACCCCCTCACCCACCCCTCACACCTGCCTCCCCACCCACCCCCTCACACTCCGCCCCTCACCCACCCCCACACCTGCCTCCCTCACCCACCCCTCACACCCGCCCCTCACCCACCCCCTTCACACCTGCCCCTCACCCACCCCCACACCTGCTCCTCACCCTCCCCCCACCCACCCCCACCCACCCCTCACACCTGCTCCTCACCACCTCCCTCACACCTGCCCCCTCACCCACCCCTCACACCTGCCTCACCCTCTCTCACCCACCCCCCACTCCACTCACACCTGCCCCTCACCCATCCCTACACCTGCTCCTCACCACCCTCACCCACTCCTACACCCACCCCTCACACCTGCCCTCACCCACCCCTCACACCTGCTTCTCACCCACCTGTAAATTCTCCTCTACACCTGCCCTCACCCACCCTCTACACCTGCCCTCACCCTCCCCCACCCACCCTCACCCACCTCACACCTGCCCCTCACCCACCCTCACACCTGCCCTCACCCACCCCCAGCACCTGCCTCACCCTCCTCACCCACCTCCTCACCCACTCCTCAAGCACCTGCCCTCACCCTCCCCGCTCCACCGCCTCACCCACCTCACACCTGCCCTCACCCACCCCCACACCTGCCTCACCCTCCCCTCACCCACCCCCCCACCCACTCCTCACACCCTGCCCCCACCTCCTCACCCACCCCTCACCCACCCCTCACACCTGCCCCTCACCCACCCCTCACACCTGCTCCTCACCCACCCCTCACCCACCCTACACCCACCCCTCACACCTGCCCCTCACCCACTCCTCACACCTGCCCTCACCCACCCTCACCCACCCTACACCCACACCTCACACCTGCCCTCACCTACCCCCTCACCCACCCCACACCCACCTCACACTTGCCTCTCACCCGCCTCCACACCTGCCCTCACCCTCCCCACACTCGCCTCACCTACCCCCACACACCTGCCCTCACCCACCCCCCACACCTGCCCCTCACCCACCCCACACCCACACCCCGTAACCCCATCCTCCTGCCACACTGGCACGTTAACCCGGGGTCCTCCTCAGCAGGACACCCACAGTTTGTCCAGCTGCCTCTGTGCAGGCTCTACGCCACTGTCCTGGTGTCCAGGACTCATGTGCAGGAGCTGGCCTCTGGTCAGCATCCCCAGCCTCACAGGCAGCCCAGGCCGTCTCCAACTTAAATGTGGTCTCTGTGACACCTGGAATACCTTCTGGGCCGAGGCCCAGGTCCTCTCCAGCCCATCCAGGCCCACCATCAGGAGAAATCAGAGTCCCCTCCCTCCCCAGGCTTCCTCATCCCAGGCCTGCAGGGTTGGGGGCCGGGCAGCATCCCAGCCACGCTCAACTGGTGGTCCACCTTGGCTGCGGTGTGGTCTCAGCCTCTGCACAGAGGCAGACCATCAATACGAGAGAGTGCTTGGGCTGAGAAGACAGCTAGAGACTCCAGATGCCTCTTGGAGCTCTCTTGATCACAGTCACCATCAAACCATCCATCATCACAAAGACAAAAACGACTACAATCTCAGCTGTACGGGTGGGAAACCTATTAAAACCTCTATAGAAACACTGCAAACAAAAAATAAACAAATAAACGTCTACAAACCAGGGTGAAATACTTGACAAGTAAATTACAGATCAAAGGTTAGTATGTTTAATTCATACAGAGCCGTATCAACTTATGAAGAAAACACTAAACTAAAAATACACAAATAAGTCAAGGGGCGCGGTGGCTCAAGTCAATCCGCAGTACTTTGGGAGGCCAAGGCGGGCGGATTGCTGGCGCCAGGAGATCGAGACCATCCTGGCTAACACCGTGAAATCCCGTCTCTACTAAAAATACAAAATTAGCCGGGTGTGGTGGCGGGCGCCTGTAGTCCCAGCTACTTGGGAGGCCGAGGCAGGAGAATGGCGTGAACCCGGGGCGGAGCTTGCAGTGAGCCGAGATTGGGCCACTGCACTCCAGCCTGGGTGACAGAGCAAGACCATTTCAAAAAAAAAAATACACAAATACCAAAAATGAGCACAAATACAGGCAATCATTCCCATATAGCATCAATGCAAATACCAGTTAAATGAGGTAACATTTCGCCAGCTGGGTTTGCAAAGGATGTAAATTATTATTAAAGATAATGGCAGCCAGGTGACTCACGCCTAATCCCCAGCACTTTGGGAGGCCGAGGTGGGTGGATTGCCTGAGCTCAGGAGTTGAGACCAGCCTGGGCAACATGGTGAAACCCGGTCTCTAATAAAATACAAAAAGCCAGGTGTGGCAGTGGGCGCCTGTAGTCCCAGCTACTCGGGAAGCTGAGGCGGGAGAATTGCTGAACTAGGAGGTGGAGGTTGCAGTGAGCCGAGATGGTGCCACTACACACCAGCCTGGTGACAGAGGCCAGACTCCGTCTCAAAAACACCAGAAAACAAAAACAAAACACAAAATATAATGCCCGCTTTACCTGGAAATTCCACTTCTATGTGCTTCTTTGGGAAATTATCTTTAGGCACAGAAGCAAGTTTAGAGGTATAGGGACATTCATTGCAATGATTTAATAAAAATCTAACAACTGAAGCCGGGTACCGTGGTGCGTGACCTGTGGTCCCAGCTACTTGGGAGGCCGAGGTGGGAGGATCGCTTGAGCCCAGGAGTTTGAGGCTGCAGTGAGCTGTGACTGCACCACTGCACTCCAGCCTGGGTGGCAGAGCGACTTAATCTCTTTATCTTTATCTTTTGTGTGCGTGTTTTTCTTCTTTCTTTTTTTTTTTTTTTTTTGGATGGAGTCTTG